GTGATTGGTCTATTCTGGATTAAAGTTAAGGAGGACTAGCGATTTGTCATAGGACCAAAGGGTGTCACGCAATGCATGAGCGTGAAAATCGCTAGTACAGATAGCTGATTGATTTTGATCATATCGAATTTTGATACAAATTGAAACAATAATAGCAATGACAATAGCTATATTAATAGAAACAAACCGGATTATGAGTTGTTTTGCTGGGTGATCGACGAACATTATTATCAACAGTAAATGAGTTCTTGATGGCTTTCGATGAATAAATCTTGGCTGGTTTATGCACTTCCATTGGAGGCAGCATTGCTGCACCAAGAATTGTGCTGATCTTATCGTAATCGCTGCTATCCGTAACAACATTCCTATCACTGTCATCATCGTTCTTATCAGCATCGAACCTATTCACCTTTTGTTTAGTGGCTGATAATTTCATATTGAATTTGCCCACTTTCTGCTCATTTGAATGAGAACTCGAATCAGATAATCCAGTCTGTTCACGATTAGAGTCTAGATCCGATGTGTCTTCATTGGAATGTGAAGATGAATGGGCGTTTCTCGTTGAATCTGGGATATTCGCCTGAAATTCATGTACATGTCTATTGTATATAAACGCAAAATCATCACTGGCATTTTTATCGAATTGATAATTATGATACCATGGGAATGGTAATATTGATGCTAATAACATTATGATCGCATAGTTTTGACCGTTATGAAGTAATGCTCAAAGAATTAGTTGATGAGGGAATTCCGATTGTCGAAATAATGAAATTTCATGTCGATCGGATTCCTACCGACATGGAATTTCGCTCGGATGCCATCACTACTGACAGCTGAGTTAGTGAACAATAAATAAACAATAATAACAATAATAAGATTAACACTAATGATAATTAAATGTGTAATTATCAATCGATTACAAACCTCTCGAATCATGTGATATGGCGATTTATTCACTTTAAACAACGTTGACTTGTCATTCGCGGATTCTCTCAACTTCATTTTCGATGCACTTTTCAGAGATTGCTTATTATTATCATTGTTGTCATAATCACGATTATTATGTTTATTATTATGATCAAAATCATCTTTGTTGTTATATTTATCAGCGTTTTTATTACGATATCTATTGTTGACGTTCAGGTTATCAACCAGATTGAATGAATGAATAATTTTAAGCGATTCTGGAGAGGTGTTTCGTTGTTGCTGTCGCTGTTGTTGGTTATCGCTTTCAGAAGAAGTCAAAAAAATATCTTTGTCTTCATCACTTTTGCCTCTTTCCATTTCTTGCTTCAATTCGTGTTCATCTTCAAAATGTCCTCTTTGAGTATTAGCAATAGAATAAAATTGATAAGATTTAGAAATTCCTTCAAAATTGATTCATATTTATGTTCGTAGTCAAAAGCTTCATTATTCCCGATCAAAATGATTTAAATTTCAGGCCTATTTCGAAACCTCTACGTGAAAATCATTCAGCAGTATGGCAGAGTACCTATACACCTCTAAGTTGCCAAATTAATATTCGAAGAGAGAATTTCATGAAGGCAGTATAAAAATTATAGATTACAGTACGGATTTGCACTCACATAGTTGAGTATGAATTTGCTTGGATATCAGTATGAATTTTCTATGGCATTATCGTTCGTAGAAACTAGGACATCAGTGACGGATGAAAGTAAACTGATATTATTGGTTTAGAGAGGACTTGTGATCAGTTGTATAACAATTGCTGATCATATCGAGTGAGTGGTGATCAATAAAGTGATCGAAATAAACGGCAATTTTTGATTGCTGAAAGAAGGAAAAGTAAATCCAAACCAGAATTAGGTGATTTTGTGGTGGAGTATGAATTCGGTTTGATGGTAGCGTAGTTAATTGATAGAGTTGTTCGAACCAATTTATTGTCAATATGAGCGACAACTTCTTCTGATTTGTATTCTTTGCTTTTGATATCGGTTTCATTCTTATCATTTCTACTGCTCTCAGTAGTGGTTTCATAGTCATTATTATCAGCAGTGTTAATGCTTTCAGGATATTCGCTGTCATCATTATCGTTACTGTCATCGTCATTACTGCGATCAGTTGATGGCAGAATAAATTGGGGTGAATGTGTCACGTCATCTTTAATATTATCACTTTAAGATTATTATCGTGGACTCTGCTTGTTTTTAGATGAATGAACTTATCATAAATGAATGAAACGTTTGAGATCATTATCATAAAGATTGCTAATTTATAAAGTTTTAAGACTATTATCATAAATCAGTCATCAATGAGAAGTAATGTGAAGTGGTGTGAATGAAGTAATGAAGTAATTTGTTAAGAATGAAGTAATTAATGTGAATAATTTGGTAGAAATATCATATTACAGTGATATTAATAGTGATGACAATAATACTAATGATAATAATGATAACAATGATAAATAACAGTAACAAATGACAAACCAAGACATTGTTTATCGCTGACTTTGAAATAGATACTTTTACGTGAAAGTATGACATTTTGTGACTTATGTCCTGAATAGTAATGGCATATGTGTTGGTATCTATCATAGACTATCACTCGACATCGTGACTTCAATGATTATATCATTAGTATTATCAATATTAATTGTATTCATTCATCTTATTAAATCAGTTGATGCTTAAGTGGAACTGTCGAGTTTTATTGTGTTTCTGTATTCAGTATTTCTATCAGAGAGATTTGCCTCTTATAATTTGA